CTGATAATGGTTTGTAATTTTTTTCTGGAAAAGACATACATACATACTTTAAATGAAAAAAGTTTGAGCTTTGAAACTTAAACAAATTTTTTCAAAAAAAATCTCAAAGATGAAATTTTTTGAAAAATTTCAAATTTCCTTATATATATCTGATGAGCAAGTAAGTAAACATTTGAAATTTGACTGAATGTTAGTTCCTAATAAGTAGAATAAGGTCCCAAATTTGAAGTTGTAGACTTAAGGCATACAGGAGTTTCAGGCCTGAGAAAATGGCAAAAAATCATTAATTTGAGCGTTTGCGGTAGAGTAATTAAAATCCAAATAAACTGTCCATTTCATGTCCATTTAAGGTCTTAAGGGTAGTTTGTAATTAAATAATGCTAGGGACCACTTTTTTACAGCATACTTTTACAAACAGTTTGGTTTTTGATCTATTGTTCTAGGACAAATCTAAGTGAAAATATTGGCTAAAGAATGAAGTCATGTTTTTCATGAAAATGATGAAACAAAAATGGCCGCCATCGGCAAAATAATTTTTTTAAAAATAAAATTAATGTGATTTTGTATACTCTATAAACTAAAGTTTAATTGGTAGAAAAATAAAAAATATTAAAAATAGTCAAGCAACCAACTATTGGACCACTTCGTATGGATTGACCCAATACAAAAGTATCTCCAGAAAAGTCATACCCAAATGGGGGCAGATAGCATGTATTCTACGATAGAAAGATTAATTCGAAAATCCACAATTAATGTACCTGCTGACTATCCAATAACATGCAAAAAGCATGTTTGAAACATCACTACAGAGTAGAGTGTTATCGCATGATTTTTTTAAAACATTGAAGGTAATATAAATTTTATCTAATATCATAAAGCGACAAAAAATTAAGAGTATCCATAAATTAATCTGCCAAATGGAAATATTAGAAGTCATCCCATAGGACTGTAAACCAGGAATCTTACTTGTTATATACAAGAAGGAAGACAAATGACAATAATGTTTTTCAATATCACATGTCATCCATAAGACATTATCAGAAATTATACACCGTCGACTGGGACCTTTTTCAGAAGAAATTATAGGTGAATACCAATGTAGTTTCAGGACAAATAGGTCAACTTTACACCAAATACATGTTAAGAGATACACATGAAAAAATTTTGGAGTATAATCAATTTCCAACAGGCGTTTGATAGAGTGCAACTTCCTTGCATTTTAAACAGATTGGTAAACTATATATTTTTTGGTTAAGTTTCACGAAAGTACAAGCTGAGTATAGCCGCAAATGTTAATCACGGAACAAAATATTTCGGTTGGGCAGTGTTGGCATTGTTGTATGCTTCAGATATAAAAAGGGAAAGCTTTAGTTTTGAAAAGTACATTTTGATTATTATTATGTTACGAATTCTGCAATTTTTAATTTATATAAAACAAGAACGAGTAAATATTTGTTTTTTTTTTTGAAATAAATGCTGTGATTTATTATTTTTTTTTTTGGTAATTACCCTTTGATAGATTAGCGGATAGATTTGGCAATCCTGGAACCACCAGTTGCCAGATTGCTGCAATTAATCTCAAAAGAGACAAATATTTAGACGTTATTGTTTTATATAAATTAAAAATTGCAGAATTCATAACATAATATAATCGAAATATACTTTTTAAAAGCCTATTTGAAGCATACAACACATTATAAAAGCATCCCGACCGCCGACACTGCCAAACCGAAATATTTTATTTCAATCATGGTTGACATTTGCGGCTATGCTCAGCTTGTACTTTCGCTACGCTATAGTTAACCTATTTTTTATCTTCTGTAATTTATTGGTTTGTTTATATTAACAGAAGATATAATAATGCTTGTTTCTATAAATTTGTGTTTATCTTCTGTCAGCATTATTTGGAACCCAAATGAATTTGTCCTTGAGGCTGCTTGCTTGAAGTGCTGACTAGACAAATGCTAATATTCACAGTTCACATTTAAATTTTACCAATGCTAAGATTATTTCCTAAAATATATTTCGCTCTACTTTGAATATTTACTTCAAATAAAGATAGGTTCGTTATGTATTATTTCACAAAACACTGATTTCTACTGAATTTTGGTAAGAGTATTTTACCGGGTTTCATTACATTCATTAAAAATATCGATACTTAAATGTTCTGTATTCACTATTTATGTATCGCTTCTTCTCCATGCTATTAAATCATACACAAAAACAAGTCAAATGAATATACCTTTACCTGGTCGGTTTGAAAAGTCTTTTAAGCGGCAACTGTACTACATCACTACAACAAACACATAAATTTTCTTCACCATTCGTAGGCACACTGACCACTAGTTTCGCCGCCATCTGAGAGTGGAATGTGTAGGTTAGGTCATAAATAGATCAGGATAGATTAGACAGTAGACCTTTCTCGAACCAACCGAAATTACTACTAGCGCCATCTGTTAGCGATAAAGTGTTCTACTACTATTTCTACTTTTGACCACCAGATGTCATCAAGTGTTACGGATGAAATAATATACAGGGTGTCTAATTAGTGTTATGAAAAAAGTCATTCTTTATAAAAAGTTTTGCATGTTCTAAAACCTAAAATTCAATCAAATACTACATTTTTCCAGTCATATACACGGTTTGTCAAAAAATATGAACTGTGCATATTGTTAACTCTTACATAAAATCCATATTTTTTGACAAACTGTGTATACTTATGACTGAAAAAAATTTAATACAGTGTGTTCCAAGATGTTTGTAACAGACTAAAATTCAGAAAGTAATGAATATTTTTACTCAAAAATTGGGAAATGTCAATTGAACCTAAAATACTATCAATCGATGTATACATGAAATCTGTGACGTGATCAAGGGCGCTGTGACGTCATTACAATGAAAAAAAAAATTGAATGGATTAGCGGGTAAAAGTTAGGTCAGATGAAAGGGTTTTTATCTCAAATTCAACTGTGTAACACAAAAGTGTATATACGCTAAATTTTCAATTTAATGTTTATTTTCAACAATACCTAATTAATCACACTCAAAAGTTAAATAATTTTAAGAAGTGTTGAAAGTGACCTTCTTTTGCTCCAACACAGCAAGTTTCAAACCATCTAAGCAGTTCACGTGTACATGCCGCATGTATCATCTCTTGCATAATCAGGATACGCGCTTGTCTAATTGTAGTTTTTAAATCATCTTCAGCTGTAGATTCCTCTTTAGAACCTACAGTTCTTTCATTAGAAAATTCAAATATCTCTGACCATTTAAATATTTTTCAAAAAAATATTGACATATTAAACGTCCATTAAATAACCTATACCAAGCATTAATTCACCATTTAGTTTGAATTCTTAACCAATGCGGATTTTCCACTGACTAACAATGGGAGTTATGGCAATTTATGATCCCATTATTATAGAAACAAGTTTCGCCACTCCACAAAATTCTAGTTAAAAAGTCACTAGTGTCTTGCAGCATCGCATCAAACACATTTTAAATGGATGGTAATGGTGGCTTTTTAAAATCCTTTGAACTTTAGTTGAAGACACTCCAGTTTCTGCAGCTATAAACTTTATGAGCACAAGTGGATTAATGGTTACATATGCTAAAACATTCACCAAGTTTAATTTGGCATTTATTGGCTTGACATAAATTCTGTTTACAGTTCGGAAATAAACCTTGCCGCATCTTCTCCTCAACCATAGCACAAGTTAAATAAGACGCTGTTCTTGTTTCGAGAAAGCGTTCCGTGTACTTAAGTATTTTTCCTACATTCACCATAAATCAACAACATAATACTCATTAGGTATGAATAGGAAAGGCATTTTTACTACAATATGAACTCACGATATTTCAAAATTCTGTTTTAAAACTAAATGCACGTATTAGAAGATAAATGCGCCATTAAATTGAAAATTTAGCGTATTTATTAACATTAATACCCTCATTGTGATACACCGTTGAATTGGGAATAAAAATGCCTTTCGTTTGACCTAACCTTCTCACTCTTGATCCATTTTTCCATAGTGTGACGTCACAGCGCTCGTGATTACGTCACAGATCTCATGTATTACGTCAATTAATAGTTTTGTATATCCAATCGACATTTCTCAATTTTCAAATAAAAATATTCACTACTTCCTGAATTATAGGCTGTTAAAAACCTGAAACACCCTGTAATTGATGATTGAATTTTAGGTTTCAGAACATGCAGACCTTTTATAAAGAATAATTTTTTTCCATAAAACTAAAAATAAAAAAGTTTCCTATATGGTGCCGATTTAATACTCATGGCTTAAAGCCATAGGTGATTGGACAAACCTCGATGCCCATGCACTCTTTAGAGTCACACAAGATCGAGAGGAGTATGCCAGAATTGTCGCCAACATCCACTAATTAGATAGGAAACCATAAGAGCTGATTTAATTTCGAGTAAAAAATCGTAATTAGATCGATAGGCCATAGAATATGCATCCCTTCTTTCGGTTAGTCACTTCTACACAGATATACTTAATGTCACTTGTCTACACAATGTATAAAATTGTCTGATTTATTTATTTACAACGCAAATTTAGAGAACTAAATTAATCTAAAACATATTGAAGTTGTTTTTGTTACTTTTTTAACATATACAGGTAATCTATTTGTCAGGAATGTAATAAAACTCATAAACAAGGTCATATTTGCCTGTGTGTTGTAAGATTTAAGTATTTTCAAAACATGACCTTACATTAAGACTTTTTCCAATAATAATTGAATTAGCAAATGTGACCATACTGAAATCATCGGTATAGTTCTAGCGCTGGTAATTTTGGAGACAATTGGACAAATGGAGAATACAATGTTTAGAGAGAATTTCACTAGAAACAGAGCAGCAGATAACAACTCAGCTCTACGAATCGGAAGGCCGCCAAAATATAGGAAGACTCACAAACAAAACACTTTGAAGGCAGAATCCTACAATTAAAACATGCATTTATTTCATAAAAACTTACCTAGACTGCTTTTCTGTTTCAGAATCTTCTCTCCCACCATTAACTGCAGCTTTTGGACTAACATCACCATTTCTGGGAACGTCTTCCTTTGGTTTTGATGCCGATCTACTTCTGGTTCGATCCCTCTCCCTGCTCCTAGATTTGCTTACCCTATCCCTCGATCTGCTCGCTGATTTCTTATCCCTGCTCCTACTTCTTGACTTTCTATCCCTGCTATGTGAATTTCTATCTCGGCTGCCGGATTTCCTATCCCGACTCCTGGATTTTTTGTCTACGCTTCTCGATTTTCTATCCCTGCTCCTGGATTTTCTGTCCCGGCTTCTGGAATTTCGATCCCTGCTTTTAGATTTTTTGTTTCGGCTTGAGCGGTCTCTAGACGACTTCCGGTTCCTAGATCTAGACCTGGAACGTCTGGATCGGGATCTATCTCGATCCCGATACTTACGTTCCTTGTCTGATTTTTCTCGCTGCTCCCGTTCTTTATCTTCTTTTTCCTATATTGCAGATAATCGTATAAACAACAAAATCAATTCAGTTAATAAAATAAATATGAAATCAAATGTTTAAGTAACGGGCAAGAGTAATTCGACGTCAACTATGGAAGGGTTCTAGATGATCAAAAAAGTATCCAAAAATACATTTTCGATGTAAAAGTTTCCGCTGAACATGATTCCGGTGTCAAAATTAGCCCAGCTATCCAGAAAAATTCGAAAAACTAGCCCAGATATTAAGGAAAATTCTAATAATTAAAAAAAACATTTTTTTCTTAAAAAAAAAAACATGTCAAAACATATCTTTTTTTTTTCTTTCACAATTTAGTAAAGTTGTTAAAGGTATATACTTTAACCGTTTACCGGTTAAGAGTGCCCCAAGGCATGCATGACAAAAGTCAATGGTTATTACACGAAATAATACATATTTATTCCCAAAATTGCTAACAGTGCCTACAGACAGTACCTTAATTGTTATCTTGATTCATAAGCAAGATCATTTTACCGTTTCGTTTGCCGGAACAGTTTAGTGAGAAGTTTCGTAGTGTTAAGATCGATTATTTTTTGCTTCAGTCCAATTTTCATAAAAAAAATTATATAGTTTTTCGTATCGTCGTGATTTATACCGTTGAAAAGATATGAATTCATTCTTTTAATATGATATAAGTGGAAGTGACATAGAACTGGATAGATGGAATTACATAGAATTTAAATAACTTTTTTATTGGTTGTTTTACATTATTTGATTTTTCTGTTGTTGAAAAACATGTTTGTATCAATAAAAATATTACTCCAAAGTTGTAAATAACGTTTTTGACTTATATGGGACCACATGTGTCATATTTCATAAATCGCACAAATTCTGTATACAGCATATAGCTTGTAGGCCTCATTGGTCCATTCCCATGGTTATTTAATACTAAATAAACACCATCGGCTCGGTACATATCGGAATAAATATCGGTCCCATAGGGCCTGTTAATGCAAAACTTGCGTTGGTCCCATCGGACCAACATGGCTCATTGAAGCAACATCAGCGATGGTCCCATCGGGCCAACATGGCAGGGAACGTGTTAAACAAATTGTTCCAAGTAATCACCCTTTTGTGTGTGTTTTTTTTAATATAATTCAGATAATGATTCCAAATCCGATTCTGAGTTAATAATATTAAAAAACAGTCTTACATTATAGAAAACAGTAGGAATCTAAACTGGATGAATGTAATCGGTAAAACTGTTTCAATAAACTGTGAAACAAAAAAAATCTTTTTACCTTTTTTATGGCTAATTCTTCTCTTTTTAGATTGATGAATGAAAATGGAATTCCTTTGGGGTTTTCCTGGGCTGATATTAGAAGTTGCCATAGTTCCGTCATAAATTCCATTGAATTTTTGCTTTGTAAGAATCCAGTCAAGTTGATCTGCATCTTCTTAGGATCTGGAAACTGAAGTTTGAATTAATAAACTAACTACAAATTGGTGCGAAAAATGGTGGATAGCGACGCACTTTGTGAATGTGGGAAAATACAGAACGTGGAGCACCTGAGAGTATGCAGACTATTTGCCCATCACAGTGCACCCTCGATGATTTATGCTTCGCAAATACATTGGAGGAAGAAGAGATTGGGATAAAAGTAATAATTTTAGATACGCAGATGATACGGTTTTAATGGCGGAGACAGTAGAAGACCTGCAAGCTATTTTAAACAAAGTAGTCACAGCTAATGAAGAGAAAGGGTTAACAATGAATGTCAAGGAAGACAAAATTCATGATTATTAAAAAAAAAAAACAAAGATTGAATGCAAACCTGTACATTCACAATAACGAAATTGAATGGGTGCACAAATATAAATACTTGGGAACAAGTGTTAATAACAACAATGACATCACAGAAGAAATAAAAACTAGAATTGGAAAGGCTCAAGCTACTTTTGTTAATATGAAGGACATTCTGGGAAGTCATGACATTAACCTAAACCTGAAAATGAGATTTGTTAGATGCTACATCTTTTCGATACTGCTGTATGGAGTAGAGACTTGGACTTTAAACAAGAGCAATATCGATAAACTGGAGGCCTTCGAAATGTGGATATATAGAAGAATTTTGAAAATACCTTGGACAGACAAAATAAGAAATAGTGTAGTTCTTCGAAGAATAAACAAATAACCGGAGCTGTTGATAACCTTTAAGAGAAGAAAGCTGGAATATCTTGGTCATGTGATCAGAGGGAAAAAGTACTGATTGCTCCAGTTAATTATCCAAGGAAGATTCAGGGCAAACGAAGCGTGGGGAGAGGACGTATATCTTGGCTGCGCAATTTAAGAGACTGGTTCCAGTGCACATTTAACCAATTATTTAAAGCAACATCTTCAAAGATAAGAATAGCAATGATGACTGCCAAACTCTCTTTTGCCTCTCCTCTCCGTTGCGGGCACTTAAAGAAGAAGAAATACAAAGGGTGTAGACATAGCCCGATATTGGGCAGAAAAACTGTAGTCGGATCCAGACACGAAAAAGTAAAGTATTAATGTTTAACTACCTCTTTTAATTATTTGTAATTGTATAGTTTACAGCATTTTAAATATTATTATTTGATGATTACCTCCAATTATATTATTCAACACCAATACATAAAAATCTAACCTGAATAATGTGGTATCCTGTCTATATGAGAAAATTTGTTCTCAAATGTATGATTATGTTAATCAATAATGAACTTAAGAAGCTGGTACAGTATGAATTTGTGACTATTTTGATGAAATCTTTTACTTAAACAGTCCACTGTGCTGAGAAAGTTCTCCCAATATGTGAAGGACTGCAGAAGACAAGCAAAAATATGGTTTTAACTGATAATGAAGTGTATTTTGTAACACACCTATCAAATTTTAGAGGCTTTAGCGCCCACTAAAATTTTTTTGTTGTATGTATTATGTAAATTATGCATCTATTGAAATAATAACCTAAACGGTTAAAACTTCTGCTATAAATAGAAATTTTGGAGGATGTCTTCTCCTTTTATTTTTAGCAGTCAATTATTAGTTTATTATTTATACATTATAGTGGAGATAAACAATTAAAAGTTAACAATGGATTAGTATGATGTATTCAGGGAAGCTTTAATTGAAGAAATAACAATGAAACTAAGTTTCAGCCATTCTTTTAATTCAATTTAGAACTTGTTTCATTATAAGAGCAAGTTATTATTAATAATGTAAAAATTGGAGTTTACTGTATGGTAAAGACACAATATCGCACCCTCAGTGCAAGACTGCAGTACCTCAAAATTTTATGAAAATGAAGTAGTCATGGAATTCGATTGTAAACATCCATATCTATCCCCTGTAAAACTTTAGTAACTTTCAAATGCTTAACCCGCTAAATATTACAACAACAGTTTAACTATTTTGCATTTTTGTACATAAGTTCCGTGCAAAACTGTTGTAATTCTAATGTAAAGGAGTTAGAACAGTTTTGCATGGAAAATTGCAATGGTTTTGAAAACAAGCAATGAAAGGCACAAGAAAAGTAAGATATTTGTTATTTTTTTTCATTTAAACAAAAATGACCCTGCATGAACTACTAAGAGTTATTAGCAGGGGGTACATATACAAATTACAAGTATTTAATTTCTTACAATGTATATATGTATAACTTAAATATATATTTGTTATTTTAATATCTATATCTGTGATGTTTAATTTTAATATACAGCGTGTCTATATAATCCATTAATGGCAGAGACAATAAACAAAGATTTACGAGACCAATCTATTTATGTAAGTTTTATGTTCTTTGTGACATTATATTTTCCATAAAATGTGTGCGATGTCGTTTGACCATTTATTTATTAGATTGAATTAAAAACACATAATAAGACTAATTATTTACAGCTAAAACGAAATTTTTTTTTTGAAAGAAAAAACAGTTATCTTAAAACTTGTGTATTAACAATACTGACAGGTTAAAAACATCTATTCTCAGAAAACTTGTTCTATAAAAACTAAATCCCAAATTGTATTAAATCTTTATGTAACCTTCAGGGGCGATTTCTTATCATATTGTCCACCAGTAATTCCCAACTTTTACTAAGGTAGTGACTTTAAATCCTTTTGTTAATCACCGTACTCAAGGTGGCCTGATGTGCATATTTTTTTAGAGTCCTTTTGTTTTGAATTTAAATAAAAATATTGAAAGTTTTACAAATAATTTTTCTACCTTGTTATGACATTGTCATTACAAAGGAAAGGAATTGTGGCTATCAGAAACATGTCATGTGTAGAAATAGAAAGATCAAATTGCCTCTAGCGATAAGCTGTTTTATTAGGTATACCCGGTTCGCTAATCCCAGTCCGAACTGTCTAGTGACTTTAGTAATTATGTTTTTACGAAGTTAGTTACTTTTTGACAGACTAGAAGTGGCTGGAAATTACTATACGACCAAGCACACGTGCTCATAGCGCATTTCATTAAAGTATTTCGTCGACCTCTTTTGCAAACTTATATGACTTAGAAATTTATAGCACGTATAAAGATAGTAAGTTTCTATTATATGTAAAAAATATATTTTATAAAAAAGTTACCGTAATTTAGTTTATATCGTTAGGTTACGCCAAATATAGGCAACCAACTTAAACTTTTTGTTAGCATTTATGCTGAAGTTTCTTGAGAATATATTTAATTTTATTATTATTTTTTAAAGTGATGATAATAATGTTGAATAAGCCATATTTCAAATGATATATAATCACAAGACGTACTTAATATTGTGTTATATAATATAATCCTCATAAAGTACGTTAGATAAAAAATATAATATTCATATTATAATTAAAAAATATTATGCATCAAAAAGATAATACAATATCATCAAAAATATAATTCAAAAATATTATAATATTCTATTATTACTATCATAAACTAGTTTTTTTTTCTAATTTTAGCTAATTTCTATTAGAAACGTACTTTATGAAGATTATATAAAATAATATTAAGTACTTTTGTGATTAAATATCATTTAAAATATTGCTTATTCAGCATTATTATCATGACTTTTAAAAAATAATAAATTAACTGGAAAATATTAAACGTTTATTAAAAATATTCTCAAGAAACTCCAGCTAAATGCCAAAAAAGTTTAAGTTGGTTGCCTACATTTGGAGCAACTTAACGGTATAAACTAAATTACTGTAACTTTTTTATAAAATATATTTTTTATATATAATATACATTTTATATATAATAGAAACTTTATACATGCTATATATACATGGATGTTAACTGAAATGTTTTTGTTATTAAGAATATATTTACAGAACTTCATAAATATATTTTAGTGATCAACCTACGCCGAATGAGCAAATAATTAAAAAAATGGTTGGTATTTTGAATAAATCTTTGTGCAGGTTGATTACCTTGTAATTTAACAGCATCTTTAATCATCTAAAAATATTAACTTTTAAAGAACATTTATCATATTTATTTAAGAAAAACTTACCAACGCATTATCTGATAGAACAAATGGAAAACTTTGACTATCCCTAATAATAAAATTCAAAATAGAACTATAACTAAATAGAACTAACAACAATATTTACTACAATATAATATTAAATTGTAGTAACTCAAATAGTATATTTTAAATATACAGGGAAAATTTGATGGGTTTAGTATACACTTCCACTATTTAGAATAATTCTTCTTTTTTTCAAAGAAAGAAGTCTGCAATAGTAGTATACTTGAGCTATTAATACTGAGAAGTAGGAATTGTTGTGTTGTAGGTCTCCTACAATGAGTCTGTCAAAATATGCCCTAGCTAAGCGAATGGAGAATACCTGTTAATTCTAGGTAGCTATCTGATTTCTTGGAATCTATTAAATGTAAAGTTTAATGTCATACTAAACCTGATTGCTGTTGGGGATTATTTTTTTCTTTACTAACCTGATGATTTATTGGAATTTATTAAACATATATACCAAACTCTGGGAATTACTTAAGATTTGGTATACCTATGCCATTCAGGTATAATACTAGAAGCCCACCATAGTTTTTATAAAAAATTTCAATTTTCAGTTGTAACTTTAAAATTCTAATACTAAATGTGTAGTAATTAACAATTTTCTCCGTGCAAAAGTGTTGTAACTTTGAAATTCTTAAGTTTTTTAGCATTAATATTATTTTATTTAAATTTCTATTTTTGGTTAATGTAGTATAGGCCGAAAAGCATGCAAAATCATAATTAAATGTTCATTTTTCTTAAAACTTGTGTCTCATTTCACAGATATTAGCACGAAAATAAACAAAATCATCTTTATCTCGAAACTTACTTATTCTGACTTACTGCAGTCTTGCACTGAGGGTGCGATATGTTTCTGGACAAATCCCAAAATAATTATAATAGTCCTGTGAGCCTATACACACAAGAAAGTCTAAAGGAAAATGGAATGAAGTATAAACTGGTAAATTTATAATTATTGACAAAAAAAAACAGGCATACCTTAACTTCCAATTGATTATAGACGAAATTAACCACAACATCATCATCCATTTTAAGCATTTCAGTTAGTTTATCGGAAATCCAAGGCTTGATAACGTCCAACTGTACCTTCGTCATATCCACCTGTAATATACCTTATTAATAATCCTATGTTGCAACAGAGTTATAATTACTTACCTGCTGACTCAGACAGGGGTGGAATTTCATCTGCTTTAGAAGCTTTTTCTCCTTGTCACTGAACCGGTTGTCCTGATCGGTGTTCGTACCCTATATAAAAATATCCATTCATTTAAGGAATACAATGTTGGATTAGATTAACAAAAATTGGAACTACCTTAGTGGAATTTTCCTTGCAAACATTTATACTTACCGTATACATCATGTTAACACTGGTGTGTGTATTTATATTTCAATATAACAATACAAATATCTACAATGTGTGGTAAAATCGCATGGGTGTTTATTACAATCTTACATATTATTTTTAAATGAAAATTAAATCATCTTTAAATTTAGTATAAATATGATCATATCTACACTTTTTCAGTGAGATATTTATTGATAATAATGTATTGTTAGATCAGTCTACAAAGAAAACAGTCTCACTCCTTACAGACGCGAATATTAAGCAAAATGGCGCTATGACACTTGCGTATTGCGTTCTTTCCTTCCTGTCCTGACTGAAGTCAAATTGACAGATGACATTTGACTATTAAGACTTTTTTCAGAGTATAAAACAACCACGGGGATTTCGAAAGATCGATTTTGATTTTATACATAATCTTCAAATCGCCACGCATTCTTTTTTCATTTCAGTTTTCGTCCATTTAACGTTGAATATATATAATTGTAGGACTCTTATAACATCTTTTGAGTTCGTTATTATCTCAAAGATTGGCTCTTTTATTGATCGTTTTTTTTTTGGAATCAGAAACTTTTTTACTCAACCAACGTTCATTATTGTTTTACACTCCCGGTTCATAAATCAAGAAAAAATAATTGCATGAACTTAAATAATAATACAGAATTTTTGAAACAGTTTATTTTGAATACTTACAGCTATAGATCTAAACTAACCCATAAATAGAAGAATGTTACCACTAAATATTAGCAGTAAAAAGGCCTTATATAAAATTATACATTAAAAAAATGAAGTCAGGCAGTGGCGTAGTCAGAAAGGTATTGTTTAGTACAACATTTATTTGTACCTATATGTACATATCTTATAATTACGAATATTACTTTTCGTCTCCAAAGAATCCTTCCTACTACGCCATTAAGTCAGAATATTATGCATTTAATTAAAAAACTAGTTAAGTGATGTACATTTACTTATTATATTAAAGGAAAGGGGTACAAAGGAACAATTTATATAGATTTTTAGTAACACTAAAAACAAACGTAAGACAAATAAAAATCAGATTTCGTTTATTAATGAAAAATGAAGCCTCCACAATCGCTATATCCGGTAATTCCATGATTACTTAAACGAATGAAATATTAAAAATAATATGACTGTTGACATCTAAAAGTCAATACATGTACAGGGTTTCTCATTATATTTTGACCCCCCACTTATTTTCCTTAATTTCGGGAATACAGAAAAAATCTGTACCAACCAACAGTGTAGCAACAGACCAAATTTTGTATACAGGGAGTACCCAATAAAATGCATCTTTAATATTTCAAATGGGACACCCTGTATTTTTTTATAGTTTTGAGTAGCCCTGCATTTCCTGATTACTAATATATAACATAGTGTAGCATTAGTTTTGTTCTATAATGGAGTATGGTACTACTATAATACTATACTAAGATAAGCTAAAAATAATTTTAGAAAAAATATACTTAGAAAGTCAACAAAATTAATGACTTACATTTAAGATACAATACTACATTTAAAATTACAATAGATGCTCAAAGGGCCCTCCATTGTTATCAATGCACTAGTAATATCTTCGTCTCAAATTTTCTAATGCGTCAGATATTGTGTTATTGTTATTATGACCATTTAAATTTTCAATTTCCGCGCCAACTTTTGCCGTGATACTGTGTTAATATTTTTATTTGAATCAAAATACACTTTTTCTTTTAAAAACCCCCATAAAAAGCTATCACATACTGTTAAGTCGGGACTATTTGGTGGCCATGTAATGGTATTCTTATTGCCGATCCACACATTAAATTGATTATTTAAATGTTCTTGAAAGGCTATGACATTATGTGGCGGTGCTCCATCTTGTCGCCATATCATACTATGTAATTGATTTTGTGTATAATTTTGATTTAATGACTCATCCACTTCTGTAATGACTGTGTCCAAATATGATTCTCTAGTTAATTTATAATCATAAAACACTGGTCCAACTATTTTATTTTTAAATATTCCGCACCACACATTTATTGATTTTCTTACTGACTTTTTTATTTGCTTAATTAGAATTATATATAGAATAGAAGAATTTTATTTCTTCTATTAAAAATGCCTGCCGTTGAAAATTTTTATTCATCTGTCCATAAAATGTTATAAAAAATAATTAGGGTCATTGTTCAAATTTGTAAGCATGTCTAGACACAACTGTAAACGCTTTCTCTTATGAATATAGGGAGGTTCTTGTACCGGTAATATTTTGTACGGCTTATAGTTGTACTTTTTTAAAACTCTATGTATTGTCGCACGGCTTTTCTCTAATGCATTAGTAGCATTGTTTAGATCAGTTTCTGAATTTTATAAAATAAAAATGTTATTATGGATTTAATCTATTATTTAAGTATTTAATTACCTTCAAATTAAAGCAAAGTATTAAGATCTTAATCATCATTGCCTACGATAGTACGTTTCTTCCGTTCAAACATTTTTTCAATTATGACATGACGGTAATTATATAAAAATGTATTTGCAGGAGTCTGTCGATCTGGATAAATCAGCCTATATTCTCTTCTTGCCGCTTGCTTATTTTTATTATTTTTTACATAAATTGGAGTACTGACAGTTTATATTAAATTAATAATTGTTTCATTTTGAAATGTCAGTTGCATAGCCACCTATGGTTCCCCTTTTGTAGTACCATATGCCATTATAGCACAAAACTAATGCTACACAATGTTATATATTGGTAATCAGGAAATGCAGGGCTACTCAAAACTATAAAAAAAATACAGGGTGTCCTATTTGAAATATTGAGGATGCATTTTATTGGACACTCTCTGTCTATAAAATTTTGTCTTTTGCTACATTGTTGGTCGGTACAGATAAAATAATACAACTTTTATTTGAAACTTTTTTTTGTATTCCTGAAATTAAGGAAAATAAGTGGGGGTCAAAATGTATTAAGAAACCCGGTACATAAAAAATCTTCTGCGGCTGTAAGAATATGGCTACGTGTGCAATTAAAAGGGTTAAGAGTTAAGAAATCTGCTACTGGAAACGTTAAATAGATAAGGGAAAAAACAGTAATGGGAAACTGATTAGGAATTTGATATGTTTTAAATAATCTGGTTTAGAAATCTCTTTTTTTTGTGTTATTTAAGCATTTTTAAGACAAATTTTATAAGCATTTGGTCTTCGCTATCAAATAACAAACGGAAAATGAAAAAAATGTTCAATTTTTCACATAAAAAAGGATATAAAATGATCAGAACAGAATGTTATAAGGAATAGTAAGAGAAATGGGAGGACAAAAAACAATTTGTAAAATTGTTAGAAAAACACAATTCAGGAACAAGTATTAATACTTGTTCCTTAATTATGTTAATGAAATAAATTTAACTATTATTCTTTATATTATAAAGCAAAACATTGTTTTTATATACACTTACATAATACAATATTTCATGCTTAAAAATCAACCTCAACACCGTCGTGAAATGCTAAAAGCATCTATTTAACATCATTCAGTCATTTTCCTACGCATATTTCATATAAAACCTTCGCCAAATACAAAATAAATAAAAACCTAACATAAATAACACCGTCAAATGTCCTTTTTATCGCCCTCGGTGTCTTGTTCCGTCACTGGCTCGGTTTCTTGTGCGATCTCTTCGAGATTCTTCTTTTTGAACCACCTACCACCAGTGTAGCCAGCTATTGCGCATGTCACTGCAGCTACGCCGCCTATCTTGAGACCTGCGACGAGGCCAATGGGTCCACCAATCATGCCACCTAGAAACGCCCCTGTAACTGGATACGCCACTGCTTTTAATCTACAAATTTAAAAAGCCTCTCGTCAGGGTTAGATTTAACCCAGAGGTTATGATTTAGTGTGTTAATGGAAATGGAGATTAATTGATGCAGTAATAACAAAATAATTATCGTTGCATGTCATTCCATGGCGTTATATGAAAATTATTTATTTAATAATAGCTGACCCGCCGCACTTCGTATTACTTTAAATTTAAAAATTGTATCAAAGTGCAATAAACTTCTGTTTCGAGTTTTGTAGCATGCAGAAAAATTCCTTAAAAACTATCGAATATTTAAGGTATAAAATTTTCTAGTACGCGCCTGGGTAAAGTATAAATAATTCATATATTACGTCTTAGTTCTACAATTTTAAAAAACAAGGTCAAATACCGTGTTTGACAAGAATTTTGGTTTGTTCCGTAGCGTGGATGGGTGAGAGAGGAAAAGTGTGGCATATGAAGCCGGCCGGTACGTGGAAGGTCGACGTAAAATCAGGTTTAAATATTTGGTCAAGAAGAACAGACATAGTTTAGTTTAGTCGAAAAAACCGGCAAATTTGTGAAAAATAGTGATTTTTACTCAATGTAATGTGTCAATTCTGAACGAGTAATCATTATTTTTTGTTTGTAAGCCGTCTCTCATCTGAGATATTTGTAAAACGGCGTTTACAACAAATTTGAAAAATATCCACATTGTTCCAGTTTTTTTTAAGAAGCCGAGTCTAAAGTTTGTGTCCAGTGTGCCAACTTCAACCTCAAATTTGCTTTGTCCTAACTAATAAGCTGTTTCAGAACATAATTCGCAGTGCGAGATGCAGTTTTTTATGTGGCAGTAAATCTCCAGTGTAAGTCCACTTTGTTATATTTATGAATAGAAAATAAAAGAATGTGTTGATATTTTATTGTAATACTAACTCAAATAAACGTGATACATAAATACATAATTAAAAGTGGTTACATTACGATACCATCTTGAAAACCGTTGACATTGACATACATCAATCATGCTGTCAACCATAGACAGGTTTGTTCCTTATTCACGGGTATTTATTTAACAGTTTGCATTTTTTTGCGTTTGCGTTTTTTTTTTAGAAAAAGGTTAACCTAGATATCTAATCTATTTTATTTTATTTTAATTGTATTTTATTCTAATTATTCTATTGTTCTATGATATTCTATTCTACTCCATTTAATTCTATTTAATTTTAATTTTATTTTATTTTAATTTTATTTAATAATATTTTATTTTGGTTTATTTTACTTTACTCGATTTTATTGTATTTTATTTTACTTTAATAAAAAGGTTCTTACTTATAGCTGAATAGAATTTACTTATCGCTTAAAATCTGCCTAATAATATAATATATGTTATCAAGTCTCCCTTTAAAAAAAGATAACATTTCAATGTTATCATTGGTGATGATTCTGCTCTTTACGTTGCGTTTTCTTTCGTGAAATAAAGTCATCCATTCGCTAGGTAAACAGCTAAATTAACTACAGTGGGATGCCGTTTGCGTATGGAAAATGAAGAGATTGTCTAAACAGCCTCATTGCCATAACATTTCCATCTGATATGTTGAAACTTCATTGTTATTATTTGGAGCCGCACTACTAAATACTTACAGCTATGTCATTATGTCAATATATCAATACTGACATTTATTTTGTCAATCAATGCTTCCTTTGTTAGTCATAGTATGGCGCTATCTGTTACTTATTCATATTGTGAAATAAAATGACAGAAAAACTGTTTTTAAGTACAAATTTTTGACAATTATCTTTCACACAAACTATCTCCCTATAATAACAAACACAACAATAAAAAAGATTTATCCAATTTGGTGCAATCATTCTGCAAATAAGCACTGTTGCAAAACAAAAAATATTTACATATCCTTTAGAATATTTTTTACTTAATTGTATATACTGTCTTCGTCTTTTATGAATATCAAAAATATTGATGTTAAAAATTCTCATTCTTAAATTTTATGACTTTGAATATTTGTATTAAACATTGAAATATGACATGCTACAATATTTGTTTTGTTTTAGCTTAACTGGATAATGAATTTTCATAATTATATAACTTGAAAATTTTTAGAAATTAATAGTCCAAAATCGATTCATAAATGAAGGATGTTGACTACTGACCTCCTAGCTAAGGAGGGAAAAAAAAGCGAGAAAAAAAGAACACAAAGGATTGTTGAGCTGATGAAAAATTTAGAATGGGTTAGTACTACATGGTATGAAAAACTGAATTATAGCAAAAACTTACTTGTGGGCTTTAGCTAACTCTTTCGATCCAGATTCGACGTTTTCTTGTGCACTATCCACATCATTAGCGATCTGATTAACAAGATCAGCTTGATTATCTACCATTTCATTGAGATTTTTGTAAATTTCATGCAGGTCTTCGACATCTTTGTTGATACTTTCCACTCTATTCATCTGTTCTGTTTTTTGTTTCAACCTAAGTTCATCCATATTTTCTTGGATCTGTATCTGGGACGCTCCATCAAAAGGTCCTGCATTTTCTTTTTCCGATTCTTCACTTGATTGACTAGATATGATTTGATTAACTGCCTTTTCTAACTCTAGAAAATATTAAACAATATACAGAGTGACAACTTGAAAACCTTCCACAGTTAGGTAATATTTTGATTCCCGTAAATAATATGGATAATCACGAAAGGCAGGTCAATTTTGTTTTCAAGGAAATAGATTTTTAGTGAACAAAATAAGATTAAGTAAAGATAAAAATGGACAAAAAAGATAAAGTTAAAATAGAAATAAAAAGACAAACTAACAGCATCTAATGGATAACTAAACAGAAATCTGAAAAAATAAGATGATAGAATAAAAGACTGTCCTATATAGCTTACAATAAAAAAACTACCTAAACATTAAAACATAGTATCACTGTATTAGTCTTCTCACTTACCTGAATATCCGCTAATTAAATTTAAAATAATTTTCCTTAATGATAATGTCTTCATATCAAATTTATCTAAGTCTTCATCCTCTACTTGTGTCCTTAATGTGTCTAATTCGTACATAAGATCTCTTAATTGTCTAACATTCCTCTTTTTCTCTTTGATTTCTTTCTTCAAGTGGGCATGATCACTTGCTGACATAAGCTATAAAATTAATTGTATAAATATTGAATAGACTAAAAGTAATCTTTGTGATAAGGACACTGGAGGAGAATAAATTGCAAAATTCTTTATTCAAATTATCCTTACATGTTACATTGGAAAAAATAAATTAGGTCTCCATTATTATGATAACTCTGAAAGAAACATAAATAATTTACATGTGGGGACAGTATTGAGCTTTTTACTGGTTTTTCTTCATTTTTTTTTGCACTATTCTACACATTTTTTGAGTCATTAAGATCTATTTAGGTCTAAGACTCTGTGTTAGGCACAAAAATTTTTAAATTTCATTTAAAAATATTTTTATTTTTGGTGTTGTTATTTCCACTTCGGAAATATTAATACAGTATACTCCCTATATAACGAACACGGTTATTACGAGGTTTCGCTTGTGACGAGCAACATTAGATGCCCCGTGAAATTTCTATTGAACTATAACCCTCTATAGTAAGGCAAATTTGGTAATAACGGAAGAAAATAAGATCAAAAAACGTGTTTGTTTACGTATTTGGTCCGGCAGTGGCTATCAATAAATACCCTTTTTTAACTGACGCCCTCAATAAACTTCTTCTGTTTAATTTACTGACCGATATTGTGTTGTCAGAAATTTACAATTTATGATTCACAAGTGTCAGTGTAGGGGTTTGACCATTCGCACCTAATAAACTACGTAAAGAGGCTTAAAAACATGAGAAATGAAACAAATTTCAGCAGTATTTCATTTCACAGTTGTTTTGTCGTAGATGTTTATCGTTTGTTTCATGATTGCCCTTTCGCGTCTTGAATGTTGTGTTGTAGATTACATAGTCACATAGATTACACACTATGACCCCTAAAAGAAAAGCGTTTACTTTAGAAGAAATTAACATCCTTAAAGATATTAAGAACAGTAAGAAGAAAGCAGAAGCTTGCCTATCTACCATGCTCAAAAATAAACACAAGATTTTCGAAGCAGGTTTGTCTTTTCCGGTAAATTGAAAAAACTATGTGCCGCTAGTAATAAAGAACTCGATACTGCAATGGTCAAATGGTTTACCGTAAACAGGGCTGCGAATGTTCCAATAAGTTGACCACTGCTTCGAGAAAAAGAAACACTGCTCTCGCAGGCGCTAGGTGGTTATGAGAATTTTAAAGCATTGAGTGGGTGGATGAGCCGTTTTAAGGCCAGGCACGAAATTATGTGTGGAATACTGCGGTGAGGTGAATAGTGTTTCCAAAGAAGTTACTGACAACTGGTTGAAGTCATGGTCTACAATAAGACAAAATTACAGTGACGATAATGTTTTCAATGGTGACGAGCTAGGATTTTTTTTAAAACTTACTCCAGATAAGACCCTCAAATTCAAAAATGATTGTTGATAGGTGGCAAGTTATCAAAAGAAAGGGTAACTGTACTCGCGTGTGCCAACATGTCCGGTTCCGAAAAAAAAAGGAAGTTAGTCGTCATCGGGAAATCTCAAAACCACGATGTTTCAGAGGTGTGAATCAGCTTTCTGTCACATATAAATTTAATAAAAAATCGTGGAACATAGCAGAAATTTTTAGTGGAGAACTTTTGAAGTGGGACAGAGAGTTGAGACATCGAAAGATTCTTTTAATTGTTGACAATTGTACAGCCCTTCCGAAAGTTAACAGTTTGAAAAACATTCAACTTTTTTTTATCCCCAAATTCTGCAACCGATGGATCTGTGCATCATAAGGTCACTTAACATTCACTACAGAAAACATTTAGTTAAACGGATCCTGAATAATGTGGAAAACAGTAGTGAATCCCCTGTTACTTTATTAGATGCCATAAATTTCATCTACAACACATGGACACTCGCAGATAAAAAAAACCATCAGAAAATGTTTCGGTCATACGGGGTGCACAGAGGCTGAGGTAGAAAACGAAGATAATGAATATCCTGTAGCAGAGTGGTTGAGGTTACAACAGCAAGCAATTACTAATCCAACTAAACAATGACGAGTTTGCTGAATTCATTGTCATTGATGATGACATCATTGTTTGTGATCTTCCGACAGATAGTGAAATTATCACAAAAGTAATAAATCCGCCTGGGAGCGCATTATCGTCAGTGACGAAAGTGATGAAGATGGAGAAGAAAATCGCGGCGAATCTACACAAGAAGGTCCTAATAGACAATATGTGGAAAGTGCTTTAAATGTTGTAAGAAACTTTATCCAAAGACAAAACTCAAATGAAGAAGCATACAACTGCTTCACATCTTTAGAAAATATGATAGACAGAATGGTACTGGACAATTTAAAGCAGTCAAAAATGACATACTTCTTCCAATTGCAGAAGCAATAGTTTATCTTATCCTTGAAAATATGCTTTATACATTATGTAGTTGGAAAAAAATGTAAGTACAGATTTTTTGTTTTAACATATATCATTGACAATAAAAGTAAAGAACTCTTTTTTGTTTTAATGTATTTCATTGACAATAAAAGTAAACAACTTTTTTTTCAAAAATGCCATTCAAATAGTATTTAGCATCTTATATTGCTCAATTGGCATCACTATAGGAAGTTATTGTTTTAGAAAACTGAATATTCGTATGTATGCACAGTATTATTGTTGTTTAATATAACTAGATCAGCTTATAACGAGGTAATTAGGCTGCCATTTCAATACATTATAGAGGAAGTCTGCTGTAATAATATTAATATAAAATATAGTAAAAAAGTATCTGAGGCTATCTGAGCTATGTGTAGGGGCTCTAAGATAAACTCCAACTGACTGCTTATATTCTGAAGCTGCAGCCACCTAATTATCGAACATTCATTCTGACTTCAAAATGTCTAAATAAAATGATGACAAGAAAGTAATATAATAGAAAAAAATCTATGTCACATTTAATGAATTTAACTTAGAGTATTGGAAGCACAAAAAATTGCTGACTTTAATTGAAGCATATCTCATCATCCAACTTTAAATAAATGAAAAATTTGACACTTTTTAGGTATCTATAATCTAAAACCCCCACAAGATTTAAGTACATGATCTATGACAGCCTGACAAGAGCCTCTTACCAAATACCACATGCTCTCAGTCTCTTTTTCCTTTAAAGAAAATGGTTTTTAATAGGGTTAGCTCCAATATTTTAGAAATAGTATCTACTCCAGAGTATTATATATTCACCCAGTTTCTGCTTCTAATGAGAAAAATTAACTTTTATTAATGAATATAGGGACTCATCTATACTGCTTCCTTTTATTCAAATAACAAAGACAAACCTAAGAACGCCAAGTTGATTGTTGAAAAAACTCAATTTTTGATACACAATTACAATAGTAGCAAATAAAAATTTAAATGAAGGGTAAAAAGGCTTGCTAAAGGTTATAAACAGTCAAATTTAAAATTGTATACAAACAGCCAAACAGGGTTAAATTGACAAGAAAGAAAACGAATACTGAGAGGCTTCTGCATAGCAGTGCTCTGAGAGGTATCAGTAATCTTAATACAACTGAATAAGTTCCTATAAGTATACACAAAAATCAAAATAATTATATTTTCAAGAGCTATAATATATTATTTGACTAATTATTATTTTATCTACTTTGTTTTTGTGCAAAATGACAGTCTATATTTAAACATATAAATATGTGTAAATGTGAGAATAATCTTTGGCCTTATCACTTTTTTAAAGAATGCACAAATGATTAAGTATGATGGTACTTACTTTTTTAATAGTTCCTTTGTACTGTTCATACACATTTTGATGATGGGGGATGATCTCTTCAGAAAATTTGGCTAGGGGCACTTCAATTATTTTGAACGGTTGTTTAATTATGCAAGAATTTAAAACGGACATTGTGAGAACTCTCATATAAACAATGACTTCTTTTGTAATGTTTTGATTAACAAAAATTTTGAGCGCATTTCCCTTGACAGACTGAAGTTCTTCTTTTTTTATTATATAACTGACTCTGACACCTTGTGTTAAAATTATACTTCCTTTTCATAACCCTTTTTTATCATTATTTTACTACTTACTGAAAAATTATAACTTGATATTTTATTCCTTTATGTAATTTAGTCAGAAATTGCTTGAATAATATACTAAAAGAAGTAAATCTTTATCAAAGAAGAATAATTTATCCTCAAGGACAAATATTGGGATGTACACAAAATTAGTCAAGTCAATTCTACTATTTCTACTCGTACTTAACCATATTTAACCTCTTTTTATAGTAAATTTATTATTTAAGTGATTTAAGTTAAAAAAAATGTTAAATCGAATTCCAAAATCAACGTATGTAAATTTAAGGAAACTTTGTAGCTCAACTCAAGTCAAACAACAACAAATTGTACCGGAAGAAAATAGTAAGTTGAATCTCTTGTAAAATTACTTTAACCTACCTAAAATTTTGTTTCAGCAACAAAATGTATGAGGGAAGAAGTGTTGAAACATCCAGATTATTTCAATGTACACAATTTGTTTACTGTTAAAGATTTGTTTGACGCAAGAGTTCATTATGGCCACAAAGATGGATCTTTAGATGAAAGAATGCTTCCCTACATATATGGCAGTAGATTGGGACATATTATTTTCGATTTAGATCAAACAGCTGAATATTTAAGGAGGGCATTGAATGTCGCAGCCCATATAGCTTATAAAGATGGAGTTATTCTGTTTTTCTACAAAGGAGCACAGAATGCCCACTTAGTAGAGAGAACAGCATTAGAATGTAAAGAATTTGCACACACCAGGTTTTGGAGAGGAGGAATATTTACAAATTCCACAAAACAGTTCGGTTCTATTACTAGATTACCAGATCTATGTATTTTCTTCAGTACACTGAACAATGTGTTAGTAGAACACACTGCCGTTAAAGATTCTGCTAAAATGTTAATAACCACTATTGGTGTTGTAGATTCTAATTGTAATCCCAATTTAATAACTTACCCTGTACCTGGCAATGACGATTCTCCTTCAGCTGTAGAGTTATATTGTAAAGTTTTTAAACATGCTATTTTAAGAGGCAAAGAAAAGAGGAAGGAGCATATAGAGCAAGGGATTTATTAAAATAATTTATGTATAGGTTTAGCTTTTAAAATATAAAGTAACATTAAAAGTGTTGATTTTTTTTATACATATTTATATTTATTTTACCAATGTAGTTCTGAACTAATAAATCCATATAATTCTGAACATAGGCCTCATTCTAGATAATAAACCCATCTGGGGCAAGTATGAAAAAAATGATTGGAAAGGTCACAAAGTTCTAATCTCTTGAAATTGGTGATATAATATGAAATTTCGTAGGTGAATATACAAGGCAAAACTGAGGCAATCATGTGTCAATTTAAAAGGGATTGATAGGAAAATAATGGACAGTGATACAATCAATTTATTTTATATAACCTTTAACAAATAAATTAGTAACAATGGACAATGGTTTAGTACTGAATAAAGCCATCTTAGTAGCAAATCAGAAAATTGGTATTTGCGGTACTATTCCTCTAAAGTAATACCAGCTTGTAATAAGCTTCCTGTAGTTACCTACTTGTTGACGAACCGAAGATTGAGTCTTGAGCAGTTGCTTAGCATGTTTTTGGGAAACCAGATGCTTAAAGTAGTAGGACACTAATCTCAGTTGATGATGGTACCATTTTCGGATCCATACAGTATACGGCTAATGAGTAGTAGAAAAGGAGTAAAGAAAACAGAATAAGTGTAAAGAGTAATGTGAAAAGTTTTCGGGCTAGTAGTGAAAAATGAGTTTTTTATTAAAAAAAAAAACTTTTTAATGTAAATTTTACTCCGCAAAATCCTTAAGCTAAATAAACTTTTAAAAATGTTTTTTTAATAATCAGTCTCTTTCCCCCCCGAAGTGCAAATTTGATATAATTATTATGTAGAGTTGAAATACTTTTCAAATATGCCTTTGTTAAGAGTTAGGAGCAAATTAAAATCTGTTACCCAAAGCGTTTTTACAGATATTTATTCTCACAAAAAACATGTAAACATAAAAGCAATAATATTTGTAGCTGCGTCATCAATGGTAAGTCAAAAACTTTTCACATTGCATTCTATGATATATTTATTTCAAGACAGTTTAATAGCTTTTGTTGTGAGGATTGTCAATATTTATTATAGTTTTTTAAAATGAGATTTACTGATAAAGTTTCTTAAAAGTGTTTAATTAAAACAAAATGTTATTACTCTACTATACAAGATACTAGACTATACAATAGAGCATTTTCAAAAGGTGCTTATGTCACAAATCCATTTGTAATTGAGCCCGAAAATTTCAGCCCGATCAGTTAACATCTGCTGCTAGATACCAACCAAGAAAAGTTTAAATGTGAATTAAATTACTTTTATACTCATATTCAAGGCACTTACTCTCTCTACAGTTTTATATAGTAGATCCATTTTAATAATTTTTTTTTTAAATAATAACAGGAAGAATGAGGTGTAACCGGATTTAATCAAGCATCCAGAAATCAGATCTAAGTAACCCAATTCAGTTTAAAAAATTTTAAATCCTTTTAATAATATTAATCATTGGTCCATGCGATTATTTGTTTATGACATTGAAAATGTTGGTGTAACTGGAACAGGCTTACCGAGACACTGATCTAGTGAAATTTGAAATGTAATCAAAAGCTTAGTTAATATACATAGTCCCAAGATTCCTAAGAGGAACATAGGGCTTCCACAAAGAGTCTCCAGCGAACTCTATTACTGGCTAGTGCTTTGATTTCAAGCCAGGATTTTCCCATTTTTCTCCCTTCGTCCAGTACTGTCCTTCTCCAAGTTCCCTTAGGTCTGCCTACTTTCCGTCGGCCTTGGGGATTCCAATCCAGCGCTGTCCTGGCAATGTCATTTGGCAGTCTACGGAGTGTGTGGCCCAGCCATCTCCATTTTCTTCGCCTTATTTGCTTTATGACATTTTCTTGGTCGCTTTGGTTCCATAAATTTTCATTGGAGATTCGGTTAGGCCAAAATATACGAAGGATTTTTCGTAACGCTCTATTGATGAAAACTTGTAATTGGTGTACTATGGGTGCTGATATCTTCCACGTTTCGCAGCTATACAGTAATACAGCTTTTACATTTGTGTTGAAGATTTTTAATTTCGTTTTAGTTGGGTAAATCCTGGATTTCCATATGTGTTACATGTTGTAGGCGTTGCGAGCCTTATTTATTCTTTCATGTAAATCACGCTCTGTACCCCCATTACAGTCAATTATGCTGCCCAGATATACAAATTCCGCTACTCTCTCAATTTTCTGGTCGTTGATCATAATAGGTTGGTTGTTTCTGGTACCAAATCGCATTTCTTTGGTTTTGTTGATGTTTATTTCTAGACCAACCTTCTTTGATTCTTCTTGTACTTTGTTTACTTGGAGTTGCATGTCCTGTTTTGTATGTGCTAGGAGGCATATATCATCAGCGTAATCTAGGTCTTCCAGTCTGTTTGTTAATCCCCAGTAAATTCCTCTATTAGAGTTTACCTTTGTTAGTACGGAGTCCAGTACAATGTTAAATAGTATGGAGGATAAAACACAGCCCTGCTTTACTCCGTTTAGCATAGCTATTGGGTCAGATGTTATGCCGTTGTGTAGGATTTTGCTTTCTGTGTCACTGTAGAGTTCTTTGATGAGATTTACTATTTTTTCTGGTATTCCTATTTCCTGCAGTGCTTTCCATATGGCCGTATGTGTGAGCGTGTCAAAAGCTCTCTTGAAGTCCACAAAGCACACAAAGAGAGGAGAGTTGAATTCCTGTGACTGTTCTACAATTATTCTTAGTGTGTTAATTTGGTCCACGCATGATCTGTTTGGTCTGAAACCGGCTTGTTCCTTCCTCAACATTGGTTCTACACTGTTTGTTAGTCGGTTGTTTATAATTATTGCTGTTAATTTATTTATAGTATTCAGAAGTGTGATTCCTCTCCAGTTTTCGCAATATCTTCTGTCACCCTTTTTTGGTATCTTTATTATTAATCCCGTTTTCCATTCTTTGGGGAACTTTTTCCTCTCTCCAAGCCCTTTTCAAGAGTGGTTGGATTAGCTCTGCCACTGTACCTGGGCAACACTTTTTTACATAACAACTCTGGTGGAATATTGTCAGGGCCGGCTGCTTTGTGTGCTTTCAGTTTTTCTATGGCCATTTCTATTTCTTGCGTTGTTGGTTCGTTGGTGTTAATTCTCAGCTGGATATTGGGTATTAGGTTTAAAAGCTTAGTTAATAATGTTTACAAATTATATTAGTAATACATGAATGCATAAACAAACGCACGTGAGTAAATACCTGGAAAAGACGAGAGTAGATAATTAAGAATTAAGAGTCGAAGCTAGTGTTGTCATCCGTCAACTGGGTACTCTCTCTATTATTGTACTTAGAGAACCAATAAAGTAATTATAAGTATCCATCAATACAATCTGATGGAAACAATCTAATAAACATTATATGATTAACCAACATTATTATTTGTTATGTATGTTTTAGAATCGATTTGGATGTGAAATGAATTTTACAGCATTTAATACATAGAAAAATGCTTGAAACATGGTTGAAATTCGAATTAAAATATACCTATTCCGCTTTTTATTTTCACTCTTAAATAATTTTTAGGAATTTGTTTAGTAAAGTGTTCATGAAATTAGAAAAACATTTAGAAAGCTTATTTCATAGTTGTCATATGCTTGACATTTTAGTAGTTCCATGACGTGACACTTGGACGTTGACAGATGTCATGGGATGTTACTTAAGGAGTTACGTTATGTAGGTTACCATACACATATTTTTAATTAGTGAAATATAGGAACATAAAATACATTAAACACCATTTTCATTAGATTAGACTTACATATACAATAGTCAAAAAGAACAAATTCAAATTTCTTTATTAATTGGGAAAATTGTAATTTTTTGGCTGGTTGTAGCAGAAGGTATTTTTTGAACTATAATGAAGATTGGCCTCTATTACAAAATGATTACAAATCGATTTGCAGAATAATCCCTTTTCGTGTCACTTTTACCACTGTCACCACATTAAATTAAGCATTAAACCATAGACATAGATAGACCATAGACGTATTAACATATATAACATTAACATTAATATATTCGTCTATCCCACAGACATATGGTCAATTCTATGGCATCGATAAAATATATGTCTATGGTCACTACTATACAAGGATGTAGTCAGCACCACAAAATAATAAACAATCAGAATGCCCACTCTCAGATGCCGCCTTTGAAGTTTGTCAGCACGCAAACGCCATGTTTTAGACGGAAACATAGACTCGAATTAAGAAATTTTGTGACAAACTACGACAGATCTGTAATTTAAATTTATAGAGATTAAAAATAGGTAAAGAAATAATAAATCAGACTTACTCACAATCAATAAAATAAAATAATTCATGATTATAGAGATTAATAATTTAGTACATTTGAAATAATTTAATCTATTCTTCAACTAAAAGTACGAATAAAATAGTGCAAATTATGTCTGTAGTTGCCGTAAATAAATTAAACTGGGTTAATTTGTCTATGCACACCAGATAAAATGTCACTGAACAGCACTGGTTCCGACTAAAACATGGCTGATTCCGTCTGCGCAAACGAGAAGCGCGTACTTATTTTTTAAGCAGAGTGGGCATTCTGATTGTTTATTATTCTGTGTCATCACAGCGGTTGCTGCCAATGTTTATCGTGAGGATACTTTATTAATTAGGGTTTGAATATGATGTCGAATCCCTTTTTAGAAGTCTTCATCCTCTTTACAGTTTGTTAGATTTTTTTTTCGTACAAAGCAGTGCCCAAAAGTACCACAAACGTTGGTGCTGTGCTGACCAGTCAGCATAGACCGGTTCCATGGATAAATATATATCCGGTTTTTTAGGCGTTACGCCCGTCCGGTAGGGATCTATGGAGGAGTATCACCGAGCCGCAAGCCCTTATCTCTTGCCGTACTGCTCCACCATAGGCCGATCAGAACCCAGCATATCCTAGTCTAAGCCGCAGATTCATCTAGAATTTTAAACTGCTGCGTTAGACTTTTTGTTTTCTGTACAACGAGCTGGGGCTCGACTCACATCCACTAAACCATTCGACAGTGAAGCGAATGAGAGGCAGCCGCACAGCTCGCTGAGCTATCCGACCGACTCCATGGATAAATACCAATTATTTATCTATGGATAATCTATACAATTTATTGTTACCATAGCAACGAACAATAACTTATTAAATGTATCCATGTAGAGTTACATGTCAAAAGGTCAAACCAGAGATGCACAATAAAAAATTTAAAAAATGAGACCGGAAGTGAAAAATTGTGTTGATGCATCATTAAGTCGGTATATTTGAAGGAGTTAAAAGGTAAGCAGATTTACAAAAATATGCTTATAGTAATATAATAGAAGAATACAAAGCACGTGGTGTTCGTGTGTATTAAGGTATATAAAAAATGCTTATTAAAAGCTTAAAATTTTTATTTTAAAGAAGATCTTTTCGTAATTGAATCATTCCATCATCAGTTTAATAAAAAGATGTTAAAAAACATTGTATGGCCACATAAAAACATTGGAAGGACATCCGTATTAAAAAACAATCATCATGGTATTTATAAAGATAAATGCAATAGACCTTTATTTATTCATGAGGTGATTTTAT